TTCTTTTTTTTTTTTTGGCAGCACTCGATATACTATATATATAAAAATAAGAGAGCATATATAACTTAATTCGAAAACGAAACGGAGTTGCCGAACCAACAACCATAGAAAAATAAGGAAAGTGATATTTTATTTGTAACAAAATTATAAACTTCCGAAATTGATTTCAACACTAACTCGAGATAAATATGGTAACAAGTTTTTTCCCTAACTAATTGAGTACTTATACGTTAAATTTGCTCCGATTCAAAATTAAAACAAAACAAATAATAAAATTTAGTATCCGTCTAAATCGAAATAAATCACAAATACTAATTTTAAAAATCTGAATATCCGATCCGATCCGTATATTACCTATATATACATTTAACATGGTAGATTTATAATGTACTAGAATTTTGTCTCGTGTCAAAACGCATGATTATAATATTTGAAATTAAATGAAAAATCATTCTAAACTACACGAAGTATACTCCAACGCATGACTATACATCCAAATTGGTATCAAAATCTACACCAAATATTGAATTTGCATGATGACATTCACGAACAAATATAAGTTATGTTGCTAACACCATAACCATCACTTTTGTCACGGTTTTGGTGTATCGCACGATGGAACGAAACCGATAAAATCCAGTTAGAGAATTGACAAAAGAAAATTACCCGACCTGATTAGTAACTAACCCAAAACTCAAGCTAATCGACTATGTTTTTTTAAGTAACAGTGGCCTTTTAATATATTTGGAGCTACTAGTTTATGTTATTTACCTTAATATGAACTCAGTACAGAAGACAAACAAGTGCAATCATGAATTCAAACAAAACAAATTTATCCAAAAATCTGAAAAAAAACAAAAATAAATCGATTGACTTACCAAAAAATCCAAAAAAAAAAAGCCGATTATCAAAGCATCTCAAAATGTGCTTGCTAGTATAAAAACAAAAAACAGTTTACAAGTGTCTTTATCATCCAAAAAGCAATCTAGCTAATTGGCTTCTTTGAAATGCAGTTGAAGAAATGTTCAATATTTTATGGAGATTTCAAGCAGCTTCCTGTTTCAAGTGAACATAACGATCCTTTTCCTCTCTCAAAAACCCAAAGTGAATAATAACTATTTACAAGTCTAGATCGATACAATTGAACGTATAGTATTAAAAACTCTAAGCATGCATGGTTCTGGTCTCCACTATCCGAATGCAACAAATTTGTAATGAACTCCTTCAACAAACCGGTACTGATCCAATGACTACTAGATAAATGTTTATATTAACTATGCGTTCACATATTGATGTTTTTCATGTATAACAAAGCTTTCCTGATTATTTAAACATCATATTCAGTTATACATAACTAATAAAAAACTCAAATATGGTACGAAGACCCTGAACCGCAAACCAATAAATTTCGGAAGGCCGCAAGTCACGCTTGGCCCATTAATAGAGAGAAATGATAACTTAAATTCAGGAATCCATGCACTGCTATTTATACCACAGAGAATAGCCACACAACAAAAGTCAATTTTCAAAGAAAAAATTAAAGAACAAGAGAGTTTCTTTCAGAAAAAAATGAAGCTCTCTTGTTTTATTTTTCTCCTATTTTTCGTCTCAACTTCTCTAGCGGCCGTACCGCCGAACTCTATTTACGAAAGATTTCTCCAATGTTTCAGCAACCAAACATGCACTACTCCAGATAAATTATGCGACGTTGTTTTGCCTCAAAGCAGTGCCATTTTCACTCCAACGCTACGAGCCTACATCCGAAACGCGCGTTTCAACACATCCACATCCCCAAAACCACTGATCGTAATCGCGGCGCGTTCTGAATCGCACGTCCAAGCCACCGTCCTTTGCACCAAATCTCTCAACTTCCAGCTCAAGACACGCAGCGGTGGCCATGACTATGACGGCCTTTCCTACGTCTCTAGCAGCCCTTTCTTCGTCCTCGACATGTCTTATCTCCGTAACATAACGGTCGATATGGCCGATGACGGAGGCTCCGCATGGGTTGGAGCCGGCGCTACTCTTGGTGAGGTTTATTACAACATTTGGCAGAACAGCAAAACTCACGGCACTCACGGCTTTCCCGCCGGAGTTTGTCCCACCGTCGGCGCCGGAGGTCACATTAGCGGCGGAGGTTACGGAAACATGATCAGAAAATACGGTCTTTCCGTGGATTACGTCACCGATGCCAAAATCGTAGACGTTAAGGGACGGGTTCTCGACCGGAAATCGATGGGAGAGGATCTGTTTTGGGCGATTAATGGCGGAGGTGGTGCGAGCTTCGGAGTGATCTTAGCCTTCAAGATAAAACTTGTACCGGTTCCTCCAACGGTGACTGTTTTCCGAGTGGAGCAAACCCTAGAAGAAAATGCACTTGACATGGTCCATAAATGGCAATTCGTTGCTCCCAAGACCAGCCCTGATCTCTTCATGAGGCTGATGATGCAGCCCGTGACGCGGAACACAACTCAGACGGTACGAGCGTCCGTGGTTGCTCTGTTCTTGGGGAAACAGAGCGATCTCATGTCTCTTCTGACCAAAGAATTTCCCGAGCTTCGTCTGAAAACGGAGAATTGCACGGAGATGACGTGGATACAATCGGCGATGTGGTGGGCTAACGTCGATAACGCCACGGTGGTTAAACCCGAGATCATGCTTGATCGAAACCCGGATTCAGCGTCTTTCTTGAAAAGAAAATCAGATTACGTGGAGACAGAGATCAGCAAAGAAGGACTAGATTTCTTGTTCAAGAAGCTAATGGAGGCTGGGAAACTAGGGCTCGTGTTCAACCCATACGGAGGGAAAATGAGCGAAGTGGCAACGACCAAGACTCCATTCCCGCACAGGAAGAGGCTGTTCAAGGTGCAGCATTCGATGAACTGGAAAGATGCGGGGACAGAAGCAGAGAGCAGTTTCATGGAGAAGACGAGAAGCTTCTACAGCTACATGGCTCCATTCGTAACCAAGAATCCAAGACACACGTATCTAAACTACAGGGATCTTGATATCGGAATCAACAGCCATGGACCAAACAGTTACAGAGAAGCTGAGGTTTACGGGAGAAAATACTTCGGAGAGAATTTTGATAGGTTGGTCAAAGTGAAAACAGCCGTGGATCCAGAGAACTTCTTCAGGGACGAACAGAGTATACCTACCTTGCCCACCAAGCCATCCTTGAGATAGTTTGAAACATAGCAAGAGAAGAATGCGAAGGGA